ATTCGAAGATGTCTACTTTCCATAGAGGCAAGATGTTATTTCTCATCTGAGCAAGTTCATCCGATGCGGTTAACTGCGATAGGCATACACTTTCCATACAGGCAAGATGAAATTTTCTCATCTGAGCAAGTTCATCCGATGTGGTTAACTGCGATAGGCATACACTTTCCATACAGGCAAAATGAGTTTTTTCTCATCTGAGCAAGTTCATCCGATGCGGTTAACTGCGATAGGCACATCTGACTCATTTGATCCGATGCAGATTTCTCAACGAGTATGGAAAAGTCGTTGTCAACCAATAGGAATTTGCCAATTTTTTTTACCAGGATTCGAAGATGTCTACTTTCCATAGAGGCAAGATGTTATTTCTCATCTGAACAAGTTCATCCGATGCAAGAAACTGCGATAGGCACATCTGACGAAGTTGATCCGATGCAGATTTCATAAAGAGTGTTCATCCACATATTCTCCAGTACCAACATGAGCACGGATTAGCCAAGTAGATCTTGAAACAATGCTGAAACAAAGAACGTTATTATCCCCGCAACCCCCCACCCCCAAGTCGCAAAAGCAAGCCGAAAAGTAGGCGCAGTTATCTCCCCATGCTCAAAAACATGCACACGCCGATGCCAGTAACATGACGACATACCCGCGCCGATGCCAGGAACAAATCGTAGCCACCGCGAGGTGTGATCTCAAACCATACACATGCTGATGCAATTTGCAAGTCGCACCGCTTGCGGTGTGTGTTCGCATAACATACATACGCCGATGTAAAGACACAGGCCGATGCCCGTAACACCTGCACCTTCTGTGAGGTGTGAACATGCCTGCGCCGCCCTTGTGAGCTGTGACTAGAACAAACCTTACCCCCTGTCATGTTTGATCTCACAACACACACACTCGGGCAATCCTCCTTCTGATCGATACCTTTCTCAATGTACTTCCTACTTTCAGAGGCGAAGACATACACATAGCCACTAGGCAGTGCAATGGGGTTCTTGGTTTTAACCCCTGGCCACACAATTGAAAAAAGACTGCAGGTACGCCCAGATGATCAGCCTGGGTCTCCTCCCAACCCAGAGTTAGCTTCGTTGGCAGTGGACTCTTGAGTGGGCCACTGCCCCCTGCTGAAATGCAGAACATTCAGAAAACCTTGCCAGTCCTATCCTTTAGTAACAGGGTTGCACGCACGCACACGCACACACACACACACACACACACACACACGCACACGCACGCACCACTCCGATGGCCTCAACAACTCGCATCCCTTGCGATGAGCGGTCTTACGCACTCCGACGCATGTAACAAACCGTACTCCGTGTGCAAACCGATGCACACATCACAACATGCTCCCTGTGACGTGTGATCTAAGCATCTATGGACGCGGATGCCCGCGACAAGTCGTAGCGCCCGTGTGATGTGTGATCGCCCCACATGTTGCGCTGATGCCAGGAACAGATCGTACATGCCAGTAACACCTGTACCACCGGTGATGCCCCCAACGCCCCCAACCGCCAAACATTCACCTTACTTGGTTGCCACCACCCAAACTCTTCCCCTCCCTCCCCCCCTGCGAGCTGCGATCTCACAGCATTCACACGCCGATGCCCAAACAAATCGTACCTCCTTTGATGCGTGATCTCACAACAAACAAACACACACACACACACACACACACGCAGATCCGATGCCCGCAACAAATCGCCCCCTTGCGATGCTTGCAGCAGACCGTACTCCGTGTGCAAGCCGATTCACTTTCACATATCAAAACGTGCTCCCTCTGATTTGGGACCTCACCACATGCAGACGCCGATGACCCGTCATGTGTGGTCACACAACATGCACACATCGAAACAAGTCGCATCCCGTTGTGCGTGGTCTCATAACAGCCAAACTAAATTCGCTGTGATGTGTGAGCGCATCAGATTTGCCTGATGCGCGGCACAAATCTTACCCTTGCGATGCGTGATCTCACAACATACAGATCGATCCGACGCGCGTAACAAATTGTACAACTTACACCGCATCCCCTGTGATGCCTAAGCGCACATGCCGATGCAAGCAGAGCCACATGCTTCCGATGTACGCAGGACCCCTTTCCATGACCTAAGCAAGCTTGTGAAGCAGTAAAGTCAGTAAAGCCTCTGACGTGAAACCGGTAGGCGAGTTGTTGGGTTCCGATCAGACCCACTTGGTCACTGAGCGAGCATCGTCAGCATCATTAATCGGAGCCTTGTGGGCGAGTGCATAAGCAGCAGTGGGGGAGTTGCTGTTATTGTTGTTATTGTTGATTCTTTTGATGCTGTTAGTCTGAGCCGGTTAAACGAGCATCCTGAGTATCGTTGGGGCCCACAAGGAGCCCCTCAGCGCATCATGAGCATCATCGGCGCCCAAGCGGAGCCGGTAAGCGGGCAAACAGATAAGGGGTGCCCTTCCCACAGCCCTGATTGCAACGCTAGCTTTCGTGACCTGGCAGCTTTCGCTGGCGCCTTGACGGCCCCGCGAGCAATCAGCACGAGCTCCAAGTAGTGCAGGGCGTTCCTTCGACTCTTTGGCGGAGAAAGCAGGGAGCTGGAGAGCAGAAGGGAGCGACTTGCATGTGAGAGGCCCCGGCGCTGGCAGCTGGAGTTCCTACGAGGCTCAGTGGCGCACTCTCTCCTTCGGTTTCACTTCTCGCCTCGAGAGCTTCAAGGAGCTTCTTGAGCCCACCAGAGCCTCAAAGGGAGCTCTGGTGGCCGTGAACACCGCCGAGCCGAGCCTCGCCGCAGAGCCTGGCCTAGCTCCGACTCGACGAGGTCCCGCTCGGAGCGCCAGACCCTGCAAGCTTCTTCCATGGTGTCTCCTCTTTTTTCAGGAGCCCGGCCCTCGACCCGGCCTTTGCAATTTGCCAGGCTTTGCCGGCTCCGAGCTGGAGCTCTGAGTTTCACCGTGCATGGCCGCGAAGTAGGCGTCGAAAGCCTTGTAGTTTGCCAGAAAGAACCGGGCCTGTTCTACCACCTTCCAAAGCTCGAGGCTTTCTGGCAAAGCTTCAAATTTCCACGGCACTCCACTTGCTGGGTGTCGCGGCAAAGCACAGATGGCTTTGCTGAAATGCCTTGCATCGAAGACTGCCGCGACGGCACCGCGGCAGTCATTCAGTGCATTGGAGATCCCAATGTACCGATGCCTCCACTGTGCCGAAAGAGGCGGCGGCTCCTCCGAAGGGATCTGCTGGGCCGATGAAGGCTCCCTGGTTTCCGTTGGGTCCTCTTCGGTCCACAGATTCGGTGTTGAGATTGCGGCCTTTGCCTGCGCTTTCTCTTGTGCATCAGCATCGGCGACACGAGAATAATAGAAACTCGCGAGTTGTCGAAGGTCCTTCTCCAGACCAGTTGCAGTCTGCCAAAGATGCAAACAAAGCTTCTTGAAGTTGATGAGCTCCCTACGCACCGCCAGACAAGTCTGCACTTCCTCCTTGAAGCATGCAAGAATTCGTTGAGCAAGTTTCTCGGAAAAGGCAGCGTGTACGTCCTTTTCAACCAAACCCCAGTCTCCCTGAGAGTAGGAGAGGATGTTGCCCTCCGCTAAGTCCAGCACACAAAGACCTGGAACCGCCGTCAGCCGCTTGCGCAGCCTCTCCTGCCAGTCCTCTTCCTGCCAGAGACGCAGCTCTTGCTCCACCATTCCAATACCATCTGAGGCACGACGAGCATGGATCTGCACATGTCCGGCGCTCTCGCAAACAGGTTTTGTGAATGGCGTGTGGGTTTGAGCGGCAGTGCAGCAAGCAAATGCCTAGTATCATGGCGTGCCTTCTACGACCAAGCGAGGACCCTACCCTGCCGGACTGGCACGACTGAGGAGACAAATGCAGGCACACTTCAGGCTCCTTGCACTCGAAGAAAAGTGGAATTGACTGTTTGCGGACGAATGCACGTGTTCTAGATGTCTATCGCCTCCTGCCTCCTGCGTTCAAGGAGACTCGGTGGTAAGACGCCCCGCCCACCGGACAGGGAGTTCGTTAACGGCTAATCTGCGAAGAGGCGGCTTGCACAAACTCTCATAATGGCTTCAACAAGTAAGGGTCCGTATTTACGGGTCCTTGACTGGTCCTTGCATTAAGGATTCTGCTATGCGGGGCTTGCATTAGAGGTCCTGATTTCTGGAACCCCAATATTGTTGTCATGTACATCATCATTAGCATGAGTGAATTTCTGAGCCAGTGAGCGGTGCACAAGCCATCCATCATCCGATGTTGGAAAACAGCGGCACCAAACTGTGAGATGTCGTTAAAACCGCCGCAATGCAGCGCAAAACAAATCGGGGCAAGCTTGCTCCAGCCATTTCCTGGCTGATGTCAGAAGTCTTAAGAACCTAAAGCTGTTGTGTAGAATCCTGCACCGCTGGGGCTAAAAAAGACGAGATCTCTTGCAAAGAACTCCTGCTCGCCAACACGATGCAGCAAATCATTTCGATGGACTGCTTGCCTTTGCCTGCAATCATCCAGCGCAACTCGAACAGCACAGCACCAGCAACTTGCCCGTGGCAGTCGACTCCTACTAGCAATATACTGCCAATATCGACTCCACACAAAAGTATGCTTCTGGACTTAAAGCTCGCGCCTTCCTGAACTGCTCAGCCAAGCTTGGGCGAGGCTCTTCTGCTGCAGGCAGCGGTGCATCCATGTCCACGTCCGGCATGTCCGCGCGCGCTGGAGCTGCCGGCAGACCGTGGGACATGCGCTCCTTCCACAAATGCTTCATGTAACAAGAAACTTCATGGACGTGTAAGTGACAGCCCAAGGGGTTCACCTGAGACTCGAAGCCCAAGCAAAACAAGGGTCGCTCGAAAATGTGTTGAAAGACGTCAACAAAGCTATCCGAGCGTGCTGCAAACACTCTTGCGCACGAGAAGCATCATGCAACCATCCAGCCCAGAACTGTCGAGAGTACGTCGTATGTTTCAGTCTGTTGCAAGTATTTGCAGCACGTTTGTGGGGGGGGGGGGGGGGGGGGNNCGCACCAAAAACGATGTTCCGACACCAGCCAGGTGACCTGAAAGATGTTCAGGGAAACTGAAATACGATTAAGGCTTAAGTGATTAAGCTGGGGTGAGGTGAAGGGTCTTTAGATGGGCTGCAATGAATCTCTCTCGCCTGTGCTCTGTTGGATGGAAAATCGTGCTCGCGCCAGAGTCCAGTCTTGATTTTGTCCCTAACGTCCTACTGTTGGGCCGCACTGGGCCGCCTCCTCGGAGCTCCCGCTCTTCGGGTTCAGCTCTATGAAGTTGGAAGTACCCGAGCCACAACAAGGCAGACCGCAGACCGCAGAACCCCAACGTCCCGTACAGTCGGCCAAAAAGAGCATTGCACTCCATACAAGGCCCTGCCTCAAGGACTGAGCTAGGCAACGTCTCTTAGAACAACTCGTGCAGGCTGGGGTAGGATGAGTCAAGCCGCCAAGATCCCTAGCATGATGTCGAACATCTCACTGGGTATGCCTTCTTTCAATGCTTACTGCTGGCTCCGCTAGAGCCGCATTCTGAAATTCAGCAGCCCCTACAGGTTCAAGTCTGGGCATATATTAACCACACTTCGGACATGCCATTCCGCTACTTTTGCAATAGTGCGTACGTAACCATGCATGACCACAACCTCGGGGAAAACCACGACAACAACAACGATAACAACAGCAACAGCAACGGCAACAGCAACAACGACAAAAAAAAGAAGAAGACTAAGAGGAAGAACGAGGACCGGAACAACACCAACAGCAGCAGCAACAACAACGACGACAAGCACGACGACGACGACGACCATTGCTACCGCAACCGTACCTGCAACCACGAAAAACACGACAAGGACAACGAGGACCACCACGCCCACAATCATCAACCACCAGCCGAAAACAACCAGCAACCAGCAGTCAACAGCCAACAGCCAACAGCCAACAGACAACAACAACAACATTAACATTAACAACAACATTAACATTAACAACAACATTAACAACAACATTAACAACAACATTAACAACAACAACAACAACAACACCAGCAGCAGCAGCAGCAACAACAACAACAACAACATCAACATCAACATCAACAACATCAACAACAACAACAAGAACAATAATAATAATAACAAGAACAAGAACAATAATAACAATAATAACAATAACACGAACAATAACAACACAAAACAATGGAGCCACATGAAGACAACCACAAACATCAACGAGCACAAACAACCACAAACTGCCGCAAAACACCCACGAGCAAGCACAAACGACCAACAGCAACCACAACGATGACCCCGATGCTAACAACGACGACACCAACACCGCGACGACGACGAATTTCAATAGTACTGCTGCATTCGGCTGTGGCAGCATTCCCATCGAACTTATTTGGAGATGTTTTGTATACGCTAACTGAAAAGATTGGCCTGAAGCTGAATGTCAGAGCATGTCAGAGCGCCAGGCGCCTTCCGGCACTGCTCGGCCAGGCTGTGCTCTGCTTCTCGGGGCGGTGGCTTTGCATCGCTGTCACCTGCCGCAAGGTCCGCACGCGGCTTCGGCGCGCCCAGCACCGCGTGGGACTTGCGCTCCTGCGGCCGGAGATGGAACTGCAGGCTGTATAGGCTTCTCCAGATCGCATCAAGCCCTGGCACGTGAGCGTGCACTCTCCTCAAATACTCCATAATCTCTCAAGGCTCCAACCCTTGGCCACATGGCCTCCACGCGAAGGCTCCCTTACTATGGGGCTGCCTAGAGTTGGAGAATTTGGGTCGATTCCAACCGGTGTCCATGTACACCCAAAGTCATCTGAGTGGCGAACCCCCACTACGAGACTCAAATTGAATGCCGCGAGAGGCTGGCGAGTGGCAGTGGCTCAGTGGCGAGTGCGCTTCTCAGACACCTCTACTCTGACTCTACTCTGGGTGCACTCTGGGCGCAGTGCCTGCGTCTTCGTGCTCGGAGCAAAGGCTGATTCCGACGGCGGGGTCTCCGGCGCCGTTATGTCGACCTCGTCACGACTCACGAGCTGCCTTAACGGCTTAGAGCTGGGGGCCTCACCTCGAGCGCCGAGGTCTTGTGAGTCTTTGTCTCTCTCTTCTTCTTGGGATCCGTCTTCCCCTGCGCGAGCAGGATAGGTGCCGAAACGTTGTCTGCGGCAGTCGCTCCACCGTGGCCGTCCTTCCGAAGAAGACTTGGTCTTCCAGTGGCAGTTGTTGCTGCTTCCATGTCCTGCACTTCCAGCACACAGCCTTTAGAGACTTCACAGCAACTCCATCTCACCGTCCGACGATCCAAAGCCGCAACCCAACAGGCCACAACAAAGAGCGGCACGCTCGCACGCACGCACGCACGC